ATTACCCTCCACACCTGAAAACTTCTAATGCTGCCGACAATAACGAGGCACAAAGTGCTTTACTTTGCTTTTTCTGACTGCAGAAAAGGTGGGTGGTAAAAATGTCACTGCACCTGATTCTCTCGGAGTCGGATGGGTGTGGCATATGCGTCCACGCCTGCTCCTGCATGGCCTGTTGGTAGACCTGGTCTTTGGACAGGGGAACCGGCCCCAGCGGACACACCCCCAACGATGGGGGGATGCTGACCTCTGACAGCGAGGGCTGAGGTCCTGATGGGGGGCCTGAAGGGGCCGTAGTGCTGCTGGGGAATATTTCTGAATAGGAAAGAGCGAGGGGAAGTGACGAGGAGAGGGAGTCGGGTTTTGGAGATGGAGAGAAAGAAAAGTGGAGTTGAGTCAGGGATGATAATATCATCAGCAGTTTTTGTTCAGAGGCGGCTGAGAGTGGGAGGTGAGATGACATTTTGTTCCATTAAAATACAGCTTTTCTATTTCTGCTCGATGGTAACCCTCCATCTCCTTTTATCAAGGTGTGTGTGTGTCTTACCTGAGGTGAGGTGCAGGGAGGTCACGTCTCCCTCGATCCCTGAGCTCATTGCTGCTCGCTCGGCCATGGACTTGAGGCTGCTCAGAGGCTCTTGGGGCTGATGAGGACAGACAAGGAGACACTTAGGAAAAGATTCTCCAGGACGTGTGCACAGAGTTATCATACCTGCTTGAACACAGGAACTCGAGTTCCTGCACCACTGATAATGTTGTCATGGAAATCGCTTTAACTTCAGTTTTCGGGCTGTTTGGTTTCTCTGCTCCTGTGCCCTCCCTTCCTAAGATGCATGTGACGTAGCGTCAGGCAGCTTGAGGAGTGATTTCAAGATGACGGGACAAAACAACAACAAAAATAATGCACTATATGTTCGCAAGTACGTGGATAGCTTGGAGAGTGTCCTTCAATATCATACTGCAATAATGTGATTTACTTCAACTCTTAGATCAGAGATTTTTGTTACCACGAGAAACAAAATCGACTAAAACCATAAAGAAATTAT